ATTCTATTCTATTCTATTCTATTCTATTCTATTCTATTCTATTCTATATCATTCTATTCTATATGGGAATACAATAGAATACAGTATTCTATTCTTTTCTTATTCTATTCTGTTTTGCTCTGCTCTGCTCTATTCTATTCTATTATTCTTTTCCAGTTTTTCTATCATTTTCTACCCCAGCAGAAGTCGGCCCGATGCACCAACCCGGTGGCTGTCTCCAGGAAGGGGGGGGGGCGCGTCGGTTTTTCCACCTCTTCTGACCTCTTCTCTCCTTCTTGCCGAGCGATCCTCTCCCCTTTCCTTAACGCCTGGCTCAAAGGTGGCTGAAGCAAACCTTCGACGAAGCCGACAAAAACGGGGACGGCAGCCTGAGCATTAACGAAGTCCTGCAGCTCATGCACAAGCTGAACGTCAACCTCCCCCGCCAGAAAGTCAAGCAGATGTTCAAGGTGAGGCTCCCTGGTGCCGCCGCGCCACGGCGTCTAATGAGGCCAGGCGGCGAGGCTCGGAGGGACAGCTGGCCTCGGGAGCCGTGGCGGATGTAGCTCTGGCCGTCGGGCTTACCGCCAGATGTTGGGATGGTGCGGCTTCACGCGCTTGCAAACGGACCCTGCAACATCTGCCGCCCGGCTCCCACGGCGGAAACGTAGAACGCAGACTAGTAGTACAATCCCCTGCTCGTGCTGGGAGATCCTATGGTCATGGTTCCGAGGAATCCTCTTCTTTTAACGACCCCATAATCCCTTGCGGGGTGGAGTCTTGGGCAACTGAATGGAGCCAGCAGAGTGTTTCCTGGCCGGATGCCCTCCCTGTCACCTAAATAACATCATCGGTGTTATCTAGCTGATGACGTTACCCAGTTTGGGAATGAAACATCTGCAAGAAAACAACCAAACTCAAGAGACCCCTCGTTTCTGAGCGACAAATATTCTCCTTTATTAGTTTTCTTGCATTTCCTTAGCACTGATGTTGTTACTCAGTTTGGTAATGCAACGTCTGCAAGAAAGCCACCAAGCTCAGCGAGCACAAGGACCTCCTCCTCCTCCTCCTTTTCCTCCTCTTGTCAAACCCTCACCCCATTCTAGCACTGATGATGTTACCTAGCTGGGTAATGCAACGTCTGCAAGAAAGCCACCAAGCTCAGAGAGCACCCAGGACCCTATAAAAAAATTGAACTTGTCAGGCTATAGAGAAGCCCTTAAACAAAGATCTAACTAAGCTTGAGATAAGTTGTGCGGTTGGGCCACGCTTACATTGTCAAACCAAACGGCCCATGTGCTCTTTGCCAATCTGTCCGTCAACTTCTACATTCCCCACTTAAATAACTATTATTTAAAATTGCGAGGGCTCCAGTAAAATTTCTCTTCATTGTTACATTTCTCTCACAGGTCATTGATGCTACACTGGAGGGGAGGGGGGGGAAGAAAACCCTTACTAAAATCTCTTTCAATAGCTCCCAATCAATCCGACCCCTACTTAGCCAGAGGCAGTAATGTCAAAAAAAAATAAAAAAAATGAAGCAATTTCTTTGAAACTCGGCAAGAGAGGACTTATATCTATTGTTAGCTCTCTCTCTCTTTTCTTTAATAAGCTTTCTCCCTTTTTAAACAAAAAACAAAAAACCTTCCTTTTTTTCTCTGCCTCCATTCGCTTCCCCCCTGCCAATGCCTGCAACGAAGAGCTTGCAATGCCCTGGAAAGTTAGATATAACACTCTTTAATGTTGGAGGATTAAAGAAAACACTTCCATCCGTAGAGAAAACTGGTGTGCATTTGCATGCGGCGAGAGAAAGAGAACTAAATGGGAAATAGATACACCGATTATTACTACCGATGTACTAGACTGTTTCAAATTAACGCTGTTCATTTGTCAAAGCGAGTTTTTAAACGCCTGGCGAGGAAATATCACGTTTCCCCCACCCCTGTAAGACTTAATTTGCCATCTATCTTGAGTTCTGACACAAAATTGGCACAACTGCAGCAGGAGCTTCTTGATTTTCCTGAGTTTTGTTCAATTGTTCAATTGTTATTCCTGGGTTTTTGAAAGGATGAAATAATAATAATAATAATAATAATAATAATAATAATAATAATAATAATAA